TATATTATGGAATGCAGAAGTGTTTTGAGTCACTTGACTCAACCCTGCTCGAAAATCCAACTTAAACTGGTAAGCCTGTTGTTAGACTGTTGACCTGTGACAATGCTTCAAAAATAGCTTGAATGATCTTAGACCAGCTAATGACCAACTAATGACGAGCCCGGCCATCTAGAAACCAGCTATCATGTTCCAAAACACAGCTAATAGCAGGAATCTTCAAGAGAAGCATGCACTAGACGAATAACAAGTGAGCATTGAAAAAAAATGCTAATTTATATTTACATTTAAGCACCACAATCAAAAGATACAGGATTACTATGATACATGAAAAAAGTTCAACATCAAGCTTTCCTGTAGACATCCGTCTTTCAGCCTCCAAGCACACGAGTACAACACACACTCATGGCAATTTGTCAAAACTGTTTTACATTTTGACGAATTGTTAGCCACAGTTCACGCCAGTACAATCTCATGTATACTGCTAATGCCCCTATGACACTTAGATTTAGGGGTAGACCTTTGATGCATATATTTTTCTAAAAATCATACATTTCGGCCTTGTAAAACAGAGCTCAGGTTGTGCACATGTCAGCAAGAACTCACTTTTCCCTCCCAAACCTTTATGAGGGAAACCTAATTCATGTATGACTCCTATGAATAGAAACTGCACTGAGATTCCAGTTTGGTTATTTAGTATTAAGCGTGGTATCACACTACAGCATGTGATAGTCTACACTCAAGCAACTGAGAGACTGTAAATAGTGACGTTTGAGGATGTCACATGACAGTCACTGCTTATAAACCAAATATGCCCATGACTGCTTGCCTAAGGATCATAGAGCAGAAATCTAGTTCAGTTTAGTTTCAATAAAAAACATATACACTAAAATCCAAAACATACAATTCTGAAGAGACTTGTTTCATATTTATAAACAGACCATCCATAATCTTCTGACAATTCACCTGAACTAGTACAGTATATATCTATAAAACACTTGTCCACTTTTCTCTTTGCCCTAAAGGAATTGAAACAAACAACACTTCCACCCACCTGCAAAGTAACCAGACCATTTGAATGTGAATTGCAGGTCTCTGATGCCAAGAGCCAATAGTCCGTGCCAAAAGACAAGAGAATGAACAGAGTTGCCAAGGCACCAAAGAGCCCAGCAAAAAATAGTGCCACATGTAACTTCATGATGACAATCTTAAGAGTGCAACTTTCTCAGCTGTTTACTTCTTGTTAAACAGTGTCTCCTCCTTCCCACATGAAGTAGGCACTGGAATTACGTAACTCCTTTCTCACAGTCTGTGTGAAAAATAGTCTCTTCGTCCAGTTATGCTCAGCAAGGTGTATAGTGTGTGAACACAAGTGGCTGTTCTACTCTTCTGAGTTCTGGTGTCTATGTGTGTGTGTGTCAGTGTCCTCTTCCCTTAGCCAGAGCAGGACCTGGCATTGGGTGGGGAGTGGGCTTCATGACAGCACACTAGCGAAGAGCAGCCCATTGGGCTATTTTGGTCAGTTGAGTGAAGGTGCCTGCTGCCAGTCAGAGGAGTGGTTTAAGAATGAGATTTCAGGAGGGAGACGAGTGGACCAAAATATCCCCCCACAGGACAATCGGCTGAGAGAGGAATGAAAATGAAGACACTAGAGCCCAGCATTCCCAGTGTCTGTCACAAATCCCACCACCAACTGAGAAGTGAACTCTGAAGATGAACCAAGGTTAATACATTTAAATCCATTTAGACATAACATATGGATATACATTTATATGGACTACCCTTCAAAAATTTGGAGTTAGTAAGGAATTAATAGTTTTATTCAGCAAGGATGCATTCATGTGTGACCTGGGACCACAAAACCAGTCATAAGGGTCAATTTTTTTAAATTGAGATTTATACATCATCTCAGAGCTGAATAAATAAGCTTTCCATTGATGTATGGTTTGTTAGGATAGGACAATATTTGGCCAAGATACAACTATTTGAAAATCTGGAATCTGAGGGTGCAAAAAAAATGAAAATACTGAGAAAATCGCCTTTAAGTTTGTCCAAATGAAGTTCTTAGCAATGCATATTACTAATCAAAAATTAAGTTTTGATATATTTACAGGAGGACATTTACAAAATATCTTCATGGAACATGATCTTTACTTAATATCCTAATGTTTTTTGGCATAAAAGAAAATTGTAATAATAAAATTACTTTTGATAATTTTGACCCATACAATGTATTGTTGGCTATTGCTACTTAAGACTGGTTTTGTGGTCCAGGGTCACATTTGTCTTTCAAAAGTGAAAGACATTTATGTTTCAAAAGATTTCTATTTCATATAAATGGTGCTCCTTTGAAAGAATGCTGAAAAAGTATCAGTTTCCACAAAAAAATATTAAGAAGCAGTTTTCAACATTGATGATAATATTAATAATGAATGTTTCTTAAGCAGAAAGTCAACATATTAAAAGGATCATCTGTCTGCTAAAAATCAGGAATAAATCACAGGAATAAATAAAATTTTTAAATATAGTAAAACAGGAAACATTTTAATTGCAATAATATTTCACAATATTACTGTTTTAACTGTATTTTTGATTAAATAAATGCAGCCTCAGAGAGCTTTAGAGACTTCTTTTAAAAACATACCAATAAATAAATAAATAAAAATCACATCTCACTGACCCCAACCTTTTAAACAGTAGTGCAACTGCTTCCACTAAATACTGTATCATATGATTTCACTTGAATATATTGATTGAAACTGTCAATACCTGGAAAACAGAAAATACATACTCATTATATGTCAAGTGGGACATTTTGCACAGAGCAGATAAACCTGTGACAAATTATCACTGTGCTGTGAATGAAGGCCAGAGCCACTGAAGTGGACATAAGGCTATGAAACTGGGCTTTTCCTGAGAGGCCACCCTTGCATTGAGCTGGGTTTGAGTGTGGAGGGATATTTAGGGATTAGAGATACAGGAGAAAAATTATACAAGCTAAAATTAAAAATAATTACAACAGATGTCCATTGATGACTGCAAGTGCTGGAAGTCTTCTGTGGTGTAGTAATGACTGTCTGTGGTGTTTCTGCACAGCAGAGCAGAGGTGGATTTAGTTCCTTGTGCTGCTAAATTTATCTCTGTGCTTTATCCTGTTATTGAGAAACAACAGTCCTTTTCATCTGCAGAGAAAGACAAAGTTAATGCTACTTTACTGTTGATTTGGATTTATTATCTTAAATTAAGCTGTTATATGTTCTGGTATACATAATCAAATGCATTCCTTGAACACGAGATGTGAGGATGGGTCCATGTGAGTGTGTTTATGTAAACTATCTTGGGAACATCACTGTATCAGCTGCACTGGGATGATCGGGTATCTTGGCTTCCCCAATTCCATATTCAAAGAGGATTTGTAAACAAAATTCTAGAGAGAATTTTAGCCCTAAAATGACCATGACATAAGCTCACCTGACAATATAACATGTGGATTCACACACACACACACAAAAACTGTGAGGTCTGTAGATCAAGGCAGTTTAAGGTTATGTGAGAAATATAAATAGGAGGTAATGCAAGTTCTCAAAGGCATGGTATCCACCCTCTCACCCACTCAAGTGACCCTACAAATTGGTACAGTCTGACAAATAAGAAAGATTGCCAGTAGATGGGCTGAAGTATGCAAAGTAAATGATTCCCTATACAGCTGTATGGTACAAAATACAATAAACTAGAAATACAATATAAAATGTGATTACACTATAGCCTAGAATAGTATAATATTATATATCACATTGGACAGACACAATATTAACCATCCTCAAAAGTGAAGAAAGAGAGATTAGGTTTTTATATTTAAACAAAGTTAATGTGTAAAATAAATAAATAAAAAAGCAAAACAGTAAAATCATTTAATGAATTGCTTAATTACTTCATTGATTTCTTACTTGAGGCACTGGAAATTCAATTAACACATAATCACTACAGCAGGGGCACACAAACTTGAAAACCAATCTTGATTAAAAATAAATGTTGCATTATATCCTAAGTGTTTGTTTTGTTAAATCAATTTCAATTATTTTTTTGTTTATATTTCAATTCAAACATAAAACAAAAAATGTTCAAAAAAATATATAAATAAGACATTTCTGTAGACATGCTTCTTGTGATATGGAATGGTGGGCCAAATAAAAAGTCATTACAGGCCTATCTATAGTCTTTGTTCCTGGCCACCTTAGGCCTGCAGATCCTGGTTTAAGCATTTCTGCACTACAGCAACATTTCTTTTTCTAGCAAACCATATCATTGTGTACATCATGATGATGACGAGGATGTCATCCTGTTTTCTCCTACAAACCATTCAATAGCAGTAGTTGCAAAACAAAGAAAACAATAAATGAGGTATGCCTACATAAGATCAACAGATGTGAGTTGTATTTTATATTGTTTTGAAGTATTGGTGTTATCATATGCCCACCCATTTATATAATTTAATTTAACATCTTCATGCAGATGGAATGATTTGGAGTGAAACAAACTATCTAAGACCACAAAACAAACATCACACAACTCACCCACTGCTACTCACTGATGTTTGCGTTGTTATTTTCTCACCAAAATTACGCCTCTAGTTTCTAGAGGAACTTGCTACAGAAGACAAAACTAACGTTACCAGTTATTCCCAAGAAAAGGTGTTTTGTTTAAAAGATGTTCACTTCATTTCAGAAAGGGGGAAATTTTCGATAAACACATTAAATATTTCATAATAAATGCTTAATTTTAGAAAATCACCAGGTAATACCAGCTACATTTCACTCGCAGATCAAACAGAGCGCGTATGTCTGCTAGTAGACGCGTTCACTGGACTGTACCATAAACAGGAGATCCTGTACATTATGTAAACCCCCACTCATCATTTTACCACGTGAAAAGCCGCCCATTCGTGCGCACGAAATTAATTACATCTTTTTTTTTAAGTAATTAAACACAAGCAGCCAGTGATATTCGTGATTTCCAGGAGAATCTTACTCTCACAAAACACGGCGCGCCGCTTTTAAAGGGACAGATGGTCTAAACCTCGTGATGTTTCGTAAAGAACAACATAGCAACGCTTTCCATCGCTTCCGCATTGACTGCTCTAGTCTCTGTCAATGCGGGAGCATGTATAACTCTAACTGTGCCATTGCCCACAAACGACTTAGACCAACGCGGATCATACGATGTATATACATGGTGGGATTCATGGTGAGTATCCTATTTTGTATTTAGAAAGGGTCTTTTGTGTGGCATTGATCGCAATGACACATCAATTTAAGCTGCTGTCAGTACGTTTACATATATCTTTTCTGCACATTTGATTCTTATATTCCCAATGGCACATGAAATCGATTTGTAATTTGTAACACTTAGATAAGAAGAATTTGCTAAAACTGTTTTAGGACAGGAGTCTTGTTTACAAGGGCTCGTTGATAATAATATTTTATCTATCACATGACATCTTAGGCCAGATGTTCTTCATTTAGTGGTCTTTATGTTCATAATATTATCACATTTGCTTTTTTAGCTTCCCATATTTAAATCAGGATGTAGTTGATGCCTTGGCAATTTATATTTTTGCATCAGTAGAAATCTTTTGTCCTGTCTGTGGATTTTGCCAACACCCATGAGAAAGAACACACTTGTCTCTCCTCTTCTTTCCCTCTCAGACACATTGAATTCTTCCTGGCTTTAATTCACTGGTAGTTTTTGTTAGATGAAAAGTTTTAGTTTGATAGAAAGTGCCGTGACACTGGATTGAGGTATGGTCATGGTGTGACTTCAATCAAGTCCTTGCCCTGGTATGACTGCATATAAAAATCCAGACAAACAAGCTCAGTGGTGCATGGCTTTTGTTTAAGTTGCCCTCAGACAATTTATGCCAACTGACATTACTATAATGACAGCTGACACCTTCATTCATTCATTCATAGTTTTTTTAGCATGTTGTTGAACCACTTCAACAAAGCACTGTAATGTTAATAGTTTAAAAAAAGAGTGTGTTTTCAGCTGTCAAGGAATCTGCTATATCTTACCTGATTAGGCTGTTTTATCTTTGGAAAACTTCACATCTTAATTGTAACTATGAGATTCTTACCATCTCATAGTAAATCCACTGTAATTGGACTCTAATCATAGCCTTATACAGTATGTTATAAAGGGAAAAGCTAGAAATCTGTTTATTGAGCTGTGTTTGCTTTGCTGATGTGTAAATCCATTTTATGTGATTGTGTGTGTGTGTGTGTGTGTGTGCGTGTGCGTGTGCGTATGCGTGTGTGTGTGTTTTCAGGACCTCTTTGGGGTCAGTATGATTATCCCTTTGCTGAGTCATCATGTGAAATCACTAGGAGCAAGTCCTACAGTGGCTGGGATTGTAGGTAAGTCTGTCTCTGTTGTTGTTCAATTCCATGGTGGCTCTGAGATCGAGTATTAATAAGATATTTCACTATTAACAACATCGTTTAGAAAATTGTTGGCTCTTTATTAAAACTATTGCCTATTATAAACTATTATGAAAATTATCTTCTTTTGGTGTGATCCAGAGAAAAAGCTCATATTTATGGATCTATATTATAAAGACTATATTTATTAATGGGTGAAGAACCACCACCATGCCATCTCTGTTAGACTCCTATGAATATTAGACACATTTTACTGGAAAGTACTGTTTTTAATGCAAATAGACAACATTTTTACTCAGAAATATGTTTCACTGATGTATTTTAAAATGTATGACCTCAGTGTTCAATAAATAGTCTGATTAATAATCAGAGTTAAGAATTCTTTTGGCAAGTAAAGTCAATTTGATCACATTATAGGTGTGCATTTATCAACATTTTACAATGGTTTCAAATGCACCTAGAATCAGTGTTTAGAGTCTAAAGCATCCATTTGATAAAATTCATTAAATCAGATTGCCACATCAATATTTGGTATGTTTCAGGTCTTGCTGGATGGAGAATGCTCATTCAGCTGTGGATCTGAATAGTGCTTTTTGAGGGTGCACAAAATTAATTCAATGCAAAATAATTTTAATGGAACAATTGGCATTTGTTTTTCTAAATTTAAACGTCCAATTTTATTTAATTCTGCATATCCTATTCTCAAAAGGACCAACACCAATTTACTTTTCCTACTTTTTTTAGTCAACAGATGACTTCATTGCTGGCGGATTGTAATTTTTAGACAAGCAGGTCTTTGAAATCACCAGAACATTGCCTGCACCTCGTCTCTGATTAAAAGGGCTGCTTACATATGGCCCATAATGTTAATTGAAATCACCAGCTCTATTGATATTTTCACTGATTTCATGAGGCAGGCAGCTTTGATTGTGATCACAAGGTCTTGTTTCCTCAACCGTTTGATTGTGAAACTAAAATTCTTTTGTTTAGTGATTAATTTATTTAGTGATTTTAATTAAAAAGGTTGTTTCCCATTGTTGCAGGATCTACATATGGAGTATTACAACTCTTCTCTAGCACTGTGGTGGTAAGTAGTGATTTTTTTTTTTTTTTTAGTGAGCAGCATTTGCCGCTGTAATATGATTATCAATTTGCTGCTCTTAATTTAATAATCCATGTTTACCTCATCTGATCTGTCTCCATGGAGAATAAAGCACGTATCACAGTAATTGTTTATTACAATTACCATTACAGGAAGCCTCAAACTCCAGATTGCTCTCATATCTAAAGTGTGTTACTGTAAAATGAGTCTTCATGTTTCCATTGACGAACACACTGGCACACACGTATTTAAACTGGGTAAAGACTGAAGGGTCACGGGGCTAGTTAGGAAGTGAAGGAGATGTTTGTCTTCTCTTGTATGTTAAGTTTGGAGACAGCAGACAGGAATAGTGAACCTCTATGACATGCCTGTAGGCCAGAAACTGAGAGAACATAGTAAATCCAATTTAAGTTTATATTGCATTACACCAGTGTGCAGTGTGTGTGTGTGTGTGTGTGTGTGTGTGTGTGTGTGTGTGTGTGTGTGTCATGCCTCAGTCTAATGAGTGCTGGTATGGAGATGCCTGCAGTGCTTGCCTCAGGGCCTGCGCTGTTTCATTTGTCAGGTCCGATCTGTCTGCCTTTAGGCTATAAACTAGCTTTCTTTGCCGAGACATTCTTTACTTTAATAAACAACTAAGATTCTTGTTTAAAGGTCCTGCTATTAATATCACACAGAAAATGTCCTACTACCTGACAGATATCACTAAAATTGGTTTCCTGTCACATCTGTGTCTGTGAAAGCACTAGATTCTGTATACAACAAAAAGAATCTGACCATGGGTTGATACATGTCAGTCATTTTAAAGCTTTTGGTTTGCTGACATGGAAGGCAGGGTTTTGGAGTGAACTGTTTTGCTAACATTAGCTGTTTTGCTAAGATTAAGCAAGGTTAGCTCTTTAGCAAAACAGCTAGCATTGCTTACAGCATCTTTACATGGTTATGTTGTACAAAACTCTCACAAGATTGTGTATTTGCTGCTATTACCCTTGTGATAAATAAGTACACTTTAGCATACTTTTGAAAAGAGTATTTATTATATAAATAATTTATAAGAATATACTCAAGTGCAAACTGAATGTAATGTTTTTGATATTAAATGCAATTAGCTGAAATTCAGAGTGTATTTTGACACACTTATGTAGGAATTAAGTGCATATTATATGTAATTTCATACCACAATACTTCTATTGACTCTGAAATATTTATTTTCTATTGAAACTTGTATGTCATTTTTTAGAAATATACTTATAATTACACATTTGGAATAATGAAGTTGCAAATTAGTATGTTAAAAATATTTTAACTTTAAATGTAATATCAACTAACATAATACAGTAAAATTTTTAATTAAGTACTTTACATGTGCTTTAGTATGTTAGTCAACACATTAAAGGGGTCATATGATGCGATTTCAAGTTTTCCTTTCTCTTTGGAGTGTTGCAAGCTGTTCGTGAATAGATAAGATCCCTAAAGTTGCAAAGACTAAAGTCTCAAACCCAAAGAGATATTCTTTATAAAAGTTAAGACTGGTCCACGCCCTCCTAAAACGCCTCGTTTAAACATGCCCCCACATGTCTACGTCACGATGTGGGAAGATTTGCATAACACCGCCCAAATGTTCACGCAAAGAAAGAAGGCGTAACTTTATTGTTGCTACCACCGCCGCCGCCATGTTGTGAAGACGCTGTGTGTTTCGTTGGGAAAGCGAAAATACTTTGTTTGGCCTTCCTAAAGAGGACACGACTAGAAATCAGTGGTTAAATTGTATTTACAACACTGTTCCAGAACAGTTCAACCCAAATATTCAGATGTGTGCAGCGCATTTTATGGAGGACTGTTTCCTGATGTTTCCTGACTGTTTCCAGACTACAATGCCGGCTGTTCTGACTCACAGTCTGTAAGTACGTTTTCATATATAAAAGAATTGGCCACTGATGATTCAAATGCGAGTTTTGAACAGTGTAGAGTAGCGCTTGTTTGTCGTTTCTCCGATCACAAATGCAGACATGGTTTTATGTTTACGCGGCGCGATGCAACGCAACGCGTAAAAAGACAGTATAGTATAGTTAGACAATATAATCCGTAATAATGTCCCCACTGGATGCAACAAATGCCTCGTTTATAATGGGTTTTAATGTTTTTGTCTCGTCGCTCCGGCTAATGTACATTATGTGGAAAAGAATGTGTTTTTTTAACCTTAAACCGCATAAACACATTTCATTACACCAAATACACAAAATAATGTTCTTTTTAGCAACATCATATGACCCCTTTAAAATAAATGTACCTCTTTAAAAGACAAGAAAATTTAATTTAAAAATGTAATTTAAACTAAAACTTTTAATCTGACACTATTGCTTTTTTATTTTAAGCAAAACAGGTACTATTATTATTTTTGGAATAAGCAACCTTAGTATTGATAATGATGACCTCTTTTATATATTTAATTGTCTCTTATGTGTTGTATTCTCTGATTGGCAGGGAAGTTGGAGTGATGTGGTAGGCAGACGCTATTCACTACTAACATGTCTTTTGCTCAGTGGCTTTGGATATGGCCTGCTGGGTCTGTCCACGAGTATTGCGCTCTTTGTGCTGGCCAGGATACCAGTGGGTAAGTAGTGGTGTACTTTGGTTCATATTGCAAATAAGTGCAGCATTACTGAAATTATTCCCTTCCTCTATTAAAGGGCTCTTTAAACACTCCCTGTCTATCTGCCGAGCGCTCCTGTCAGATCTTGTGTTGGAGAAAGAGCGGCCTCTAGTGATGGGCCACTTTAATGCAGCCTCAAGCGTGGGATTCATCCTGGGACCAGTGGTGGGTGGATATCTCACTGAACATGAGGGCGGTTTTTACTTATCCTCATTCGTCTGTGCAGCCATTTTCCTTCTAAATGCAGGTGAGCAAGATTGACAATAGTTACGTGCATAAAGAAAGTAACTTATTCCTTACAAGTACAAACAAGTATAGATAGATTGCAGTTATCTTGTAATGCATTAAAGGGATAGTTCATTGTTTACTTACACTTAAGTCATTCCAAAATCACATGCCTTTCTTTCACTGGACACAAAAAAAAGATGTTGAAAACTGTTTGCCATGCAGTTGTAATGAATGTGTGCAAAAGTTTTCAAACTTCAAAAAGGACACTGTTTCATATGTACAGCATTTTAACCATTTAACTATATAAACTTCAAGTTTAAAGCCAAATCATGAAAGAAGCCATGTCTGAAGTCCAAATAATTTTTCATGAATCAGACAGTTTTAATGAATTAGTTGATCTGGTTAGAAGATTTGGAAAGTTTTTGGCTGCTTTTGTATACTTTTTTTAAACTTGAAAACTTCAGTCACTCTTCATTGTACAGTAATTGCATAGAAAAGAGCAGCATCGGCATTTTGCTAAACTTCGCATTTTTGTTCCACTGAAGAAAGAAAGACACATGAGTTTGGATTTACATGAGGATGAGTAAATGGTGACAGAATTTTTATTTCTGGGTGAACTATTCCTTGTGAAAAATATCATTTTAACATACTTAAAAAGTAGTTTTTACAGAAATAATATAGTTTAAAACAGTATACTTGAGACTGGATGTAATGTTTTCAGACACGTAATTGCAAGTTAATTTAAATTAAATTATATTATAGTTTGAAATTTTTGACCTATACAAGTAGTACTCTATTGCAACTTGTAGGTCATGTATTTAATTATATTTGTAATGACACATTTATAATGATGAAGTTACATATTTAGTACATTTAATATATTAACTTTAAATGTAATGTCAAATAACACAATACAGTGTAGTCAGCACATCAAAATAAGTACTTCTTTAAAGCATGACAAAAGATGATTAAAACAATGATTTAATATGTGAAATAATGTAGTCAGATAAAACATTTATATGATTTCAGTCATGAAAGTGCACTTAAGTGGCCTTTTAGTTTCCTTAATATTATATATTCTGCAAGTACAGGTTTTTTTAAAAATACACTTTTAAGTACACTGCAAGTGCACATTCAGTACAGTTAAGTGCACTCCTTTTACACAAGTGATCCCTTGTCTGCTACTGTACAAAGCAACCATAGTCTACTTATCCAAATGTTGTCTTCTCAGGTTTGGTCTGGATGTTACCTTGGAGTGAGACGCTAAATCACCGTATTGATGCAAACGCTAACAGTAAAACCAAACCCAGCAAATCCTACGATGAGTTAAAGAACTCAGTCCAGCAAAACTGCTCAGACAAAAACCACGTTTGCCATACTAATGCATCAGCAGTCCGCAGTCAAACAAATGGAGGCTGGGGCTGGAGAGACATGTCTGTCGTCCAGCCTGCCTGGAGACAGCTGACCTCAGTGTGGATACGGATCCGCATGGTGGCTTCCTCCGATATGTGGGACGTGTTCCTGGTGCGTCTTCTAATGGCTGTATCCATAATGCTGTACTACAGTAACTTCTCCTTAGCCATGGAGGAGCGTTTTCAGCTCAAACCAAAGGTGACGGGCTATTTGATCAGCTACAGCAGTATGTTGGGGGCCCTTGCTGGCTGTTTGGTGGGACCCGTCACACACCTTTATGGCAACAACATGTCTGCTTTATTGTTACACTCTACTGCACTCACCTGCACGTTGATCTTCCTGTATGCCACGGCACCCAACGTCTGGCAGGTCCTGCTCACTTCCACGTTCTTTGCCATCTCTACCACTATCGGACGCACTTGCATCACTGACTTAGAGCTGCAGCGTGGGGGAGCCCAAGCTAGCGGGACGTTAATCGGAGCGGGACAGTCGGTCACAGCTGTGGGACGGGTCCTTGCACCACTGCTGTCTGGTCTGGCTCAAGAAGTCAGCCCCTGTGGACCTCCTAGTTTGGGGGGTGTGCTGGGACTGGTAGCTGTGGGTTTGCTATTCGTGAGGACTCCTAAGTGGGACAGCAAGACAAAGGTTAAAGACAAGAGTCCCAAACAATGAGGTGAAAACCACTCAAAGTGACAGAAAGACGAAAGATTGTGACGGCAGCTGTCTTTTATCCTCTCAGGTGATGTGATGAATTTTTTGGAGAATGTGGGAGTTTGGATCCTTTTACCAGCTAATAAATGTCTCAACGTCAGTGTGAGACGCCCATTGGTAAGGCTGCTTTCTGTGCCGTCATGCTGAAAGAGAGCAAGTGCCTGTGCATATGCAGATTTGACCGAGTCTGAAGTTTATATCAGAACATTTAGCTGTTTAGTGGTTCAACACCAGTGGCAAAACTAGCACCAGACGTGGGACATTCATTGTTGAAAGACTTTTATTTGTTATATAAAAGTGATTTATGTGTTGATTTTTATGTTTCCTGGCCAAATTTCTGACTATAAGTCATATAGACAAGAAAGATAATGCTGATATGCTTCCAAGAAAACTGTTTAACATTTTGGGCAGGAGAAATGTAACTTTGTGATTGAGTTTTACCTCACTGTGGCATTGATACTCATTTAACCACTATTTATCATTGGTGCACTTCATAATACTCATGTCCTTCAGTGTTTTGAAATTAAAAGTCATACAGTTGTTGACCCAAAGGCTAGCAATAATGTTTTTAATAAAACTGTACAAAAAAACTTGAGTATAGGACACATACAGTACTGTTCAAAATTAACTGTGGGGTCAGCAACATTTTTTTTATTTATTATTTTGAAATCATATATTTCTATTTAGCAAGGATGCATTAAATTGATCAGAAGTGACAGTAAAGACATTAAAAAAGTTACAAAAGATTTGTTTTAAAGGGGTGCTATTATGCTTTTTCACTTTTTCAACTTTAGTCTGTAATGTTGCTGTTTGAGCATAAAAAAGATCTGCAAAGTTACAAAGCTCAAAGTCCACTTCAAAAGGAGATATTTTATTTAACAGAAATCACTTTTCAAAAACTACAACGAACGACTCATTTGGACTACAACGCATATTTTCCGGGATTTGTGATATCACAAATATGGACGAATGGGACGAGACCTGGTTGAGCTGCACTAGAGAAGGCAACGAGTGTTATCACTATGTCGGAGACACGCTAGCTTTCCCAAAGCAGACGAACATAGAGTGGTTACAATCATCCGGCTTTAAATCGCACTCAAATTGATTTGATTTTGACGCAATATTTACACTGAAGCTCCCATTGGTAAGGCTGCTTTCTGTGCCGTCATGCTGAAAGAGAGCAAGTGCCTGTGCATATGCAGATTTGACCGAGTCTGAAGTTTATATCAGAACATTTAGCTGTTTAGTGGTTCAACACCAGTGGCAAAACTAGCACCAGACGTGGGACATTCATTGTTGAAAGACTTTTATTTGTTATATAAAAGTGATTTATGTGTTGATTTTTATGTTTCCTGGCCAAATTTCTGACTATAAGTCATATAGACAAGAAAGATAAGGCTGATATGCTTCCAAGAAAACTGTTTAACATTTTGGGCAGGAGAAATGTAACTTTGTGATTGAGTTTTACCTCACTGTGGCATTGATACTCATTTAACCACTATTTATCATTGGTGCACTTCATAATACTCATGTCCTTCAGTGTTTTGAAATTAAAAGTCATACAGTTGTTGACCCAAAGGCTAGCAATAATGTTTTTAATAAAACTGTACAAAAAAACTTGAGTATAGGACACATACAGTACTGTTCAAAATTAACTGTGGGGTCAGCAACATTTTTTTTATTTATTATTTTGAAATCATATATTTCTATTTAGCAAGGATGCATTAAATTGATCAGAAGTGACAGTAAAGACATTAAAAAAGTTACAAAAGATTTGTTTTAAAGGGGTGCTATTATGCTTTTTCACTTTTTCAACTTTAGTCTGTAATGTTGCTGTTTGAGCATAAAAAAGATCTGCAAAGTTACAAAGCTCAAAGTCCACTTCAAAAGGAGATATTTTATTTAACAGAAATCACTTTTCAAAAACTACAACGAACGACTCATTTGGACTACAACGCATATTTTCCGGGATTTGTGATATCACAAATATGGACGAATGGGACGAGACCTGGTTGAGCTGCACTAGAGAAGGCAACGAGTGTTATCACTATGTCGGAGACACGCTAGCTTTCCCAAAGCAGACGAACATAGAGTGGTTACAATCATCCGGCTTTAAATCGCACTCAAATTGATTTGATTTTGACGCAATATTTACACTGAAGCTCGCAGGCGGCTATGGTAAGGGACATGACATTTCCCGACCAGGCGCAGAGTGCTGCTATAATAGTATATTATGTTATTTTAGTTTATTTTATAGTTAATTTAAAAAGTATGTGCTGCATGCCAGGGTAAAATGATCTCACACACTATATTATACTTTAATATTTGTACCCATGTATATTTTACAGCGAGATTAATACATACAAAAGTAATGTTATGTCCTATATATTAATTTAACTTTCAAGTAATTTTTTATGATGTGGAAAGAAAACATTTTTTTTGTTAAAACAAATAATTTAATTTACTAAAATCCAGTTAAATCTGAAAAATAGCAATATATCCCAAAGTTTCCAAAGCTAAAGTTCAATTTAGTGAATTACAAATAAAAAATTAATTAAAAAAAACTTGAAAATGACAATGCACCCAATTCATCAGTTTTACCAATATCAGCAAAATGCATGTGAAGCAGACCAATATATACCGTATATTACAATTTATGATAGCTTTAGTGTCATAGAAAGATTTCTTACATAGGAATATTTTGTGACTGTGTTTCACATGGAATAAGTTCTATGTTCTCTAGTATAATTGTTTGTTTTTATGAGTCAAAGTGGTGAGATCAATTCCACAAGTAATAGCAGTCCACCACTATTAACAGTGAACTCATTTGTCATGTGGTTTCTGTGGCAGCCAGTGTGGTCTCCTCATCAAAGAGTGCTGCACATCACTGTTGTTCTGCGGTTCCTGTACCCATGCATGTGGAGACGACCGTGATTGCTGCTCCTCACCCGCACAGTCTTCATCACTATAGTTTCTAGACGAGCCATGAGGCAGATGTGAGGTCAGATGTCCTGAATGGCTGACACTTGACCCCAGATGTGACCTCCTGTAGCCTCTCTGCTCCTCATTCTGTTCGTCCACCGTGTTGACAGAGGAAGCCACTTCCTTCAGAGTGTTTAACGGCCTGAGAGGCATCACTGCTTTAGATGACAATCTCTGTGGATGCCTGATTGACGGGTAGTCGATCTCCGATTCAGTATCGCCATCTCCTACAAAGACAACAGCATAGAGTACTATCTATATTACTGTCAATACAGCTGCTTAAAATTAATAGTTATGAAAACCATTCGACTCACATCAGTGTATTATTTAAAACTACCACTAGATGGCATGACAATTGCAGTAGCCATATACACAACCACATCTAAAAAAAAAAAACTGTTTCAAATAAAAGCTGTTCTTGAACTTTCTATTAAGCAAAGAATCCTGAAAAAAAAAAAATCACTTAATATTTCACAAAAAATATTAAGCAGCAGTACATTCTCTCACCAGTGTGACCGAGTCTCCCTGGAGGAAATCCAGAGTTTAGACTCCGGCCCATGGGCAGAGAGAAATACTTCTGGGACATTTTTGCAGCATTCTGGTAGAAAAAGAGCAAGGAAAGGGTCAACGACTCTCATTTCCATATTTAGAAGTGTATATATTCTATAGATCATTATGTATGACTTTGTGTTCTGATTTTAGACAGCATTCTTTAGGTTTTTTGTCTTACATCATATCATTCTGTACCCAGTATAAATAAGTGCTCTCATTTATATAGTGTTACATACAGTGCCATGGAAGCTTCCAGCTCTGAGGCTGCGTCGTAAGCTTGTGTGGCGTCTCATCAGGATCTCCCTAGCTGTGATATCATTGGGTAATGTATGCTTATTAGTGTAAGACACTGTGAAGCATAATGGATAAAAATATAGATAACAAATTGTGAAATATCACAAGGGACATTAGAAGCAACAAAATAAACATGAATAATTTCAATGCACCACTTTCACATACTAAATAATAAAAAATCATTTGAGAAGACATTCAACTTTCCCATAAAACACATGGTAGACTTTGTTCAGTGCAACATTACTGGTTTCTGGGCCCCACACTGGAGAAAAAAATTATACTTTGGACCATTTGTGACCCTGGACCACAAAACCAGTCATAAGGGTCAATTTTTTTAAATTGATATTTATACATCATCCGAAAGCTGAATAAATAAGCTTTCCATTGATGTATGGTTTGTTAGGATAGGACAATATTTGGCCGAGATACAACTATTTGAAAATCTGGAATCTGAGGGTGCAAAAAAATCTAAATATTGAGAAAATCGCCTTTAAAGTTATCCAAATTCTTAGCAATGCATATTACTCATCAAAAATTACGTTTTAATATATTTACAGTAGGAAATTTACAAAATATTTTCATGGAACATGATCTTTACTTAATGTCCTAATGATTTTTGGCATAAAAGAAAAATCGATAATTTTGACCCATACAATGTATTTTTGGCTATTGCTACAAATATACCCCAGCGACTTAAGACTGGTTTTGTGGTCCAGGGTCACATTTTAATAAAACCCACAATAATTAATGCAGTCAGTAAAGCTAGTCAGTATGTGTCATCAATATGAAAAATACTATTTAATCATGGACAATTTTTTTTTTTTTTATTGAGATTTGTTTTTGACAAACGGAACAAAATCAAAACTATCTAGATTAGACTGATATCAAAACACAGTTATTTTTTCAGTGTAGGTCATACAAATCTGTAAACCTGGTACAAAACTGTTTGTTATTTCTGATGTAGGTCAGTGTCCTCAAAATAATTCATTTCTTAACTAATTCCTTTGTATTGAGCATTTGACTGTATTTCTTTTTTTCCTTTTTTTTTACGGTGGTGTTTTTGTTGTTGTTTGTTTGTTTAGTTTCTTCCAGCAATTCCTATATTGTAAGTTCAGGACATTCTGTCATAACTCACCCTCTGTCTGATCATGTACATGTTCTTTGATAAGAGTTCATGCATATTTGTCACATCAGATGACAAGAACTTCTTCCTGGACTTGGAGGCATTCTTTCTTTTTTCGCTATAGTAAAAGACAAACAGAAATCAACAGGAAGCAAATCATTGTGATGCTACTCCGACTACAGACCTTTACTGAAATGACTGTTTTATAAAATGTTCAGCTAAAAAAGTTTCAGACAGTTTCAAAGATTTCTGAAAAGAGGAGGACAGGACAAGAAGTGACAGTGCAAAAAGGAGACGTACTGCAATGAAATTAAAGAGGGGGCTGCACTGATGTCACCGGACATTTGGTCCAGTATCTCCATGGCGTTCTGAAGCTCCAGTTTCTTATACAGAGCCACAATGCTTGACTCGGGACGATTATCACGGATTAAAATCTTGCGAATGATCCGGTTATTAAACTTCATGAACCTGGCAACCAATGGAATGAATGAATCTCAAAGTCAATATCACAGTATAACAGAGTGTACAGGATTTTGTACGTTGATATTTAACTCCCACATTTACACTGAGTCAAATTAAATGTCCTTTATCCATTCATATCTTTTTCCAAAATGAAACAAAACAAAAGAAACCTAGGGTAACAGCTGTGGTAGT